ATTCTCTAAAACAACAGATACAGTATTTTATTATAATTTTTTAAAATCAACTTTACATATGTATAGATCTGTATCTAAAAATTTCAGAAAGAAGACAGTTTAATACTGCACAAAACCAGAAACAGCTATTCACCTGGTATTTCAAATCGAATTAGGCATTTTTCTGAACAGTAGTGGAAGTAAGTTAATGGATTAGAATGAGTCTAAATAAATTTAAATAAGTACATTGCCTCACAGGCAATTTGGATGAAGGAAGCTGGAGGTCAACCATGGTAGTTTTAACTGTTAGATGCATGGGTGTGAACCTCATTTGGCTGTAAAAGTATTTTTCTATAAAAGCAGCACTACAAAAGTACCTACTATACCCCACTGACAAACATTTTATGATTAAAATTTGTTGATTGTATAGCATTTAACAAATTTCTTATGAAAGTTAATATTTCAGGTCTATGTTTGCAAAAATAGACACATGTCAGAGAATGCTGGCTTAGGGTACAATCTACTGGGGATGTCTTAAACCTCTGAACTTGGAGCATTACAGGCATCCTATGCAGAGCTGGAGGAGTGCAGAGGTGAAGGTTGCCTCTTCTCTTTCTGCTCTGCAAAAAGCTAGACAACAGATTTCAGCTATCTAATTGCAACAGGAAGCAAGAAAGTTGAGGTTCCATAAAGATATGTTGTTTCTTGGTAGTACCAATCTCCTTCCTTCCCTGTCACTCGGAAGACCCACCTGAAGTTGTGTACCAGAAGGCTCACCTGAAGTTCAGAGAAGCATATTGCATAAGTAGCTGGAGAGGGTTGTTGGAGTCCCCCTCCCCACAATATATGGCTGGAAAAGAGCTTCAACCTCAGATCTAGTGGTCTGAAAAGTCATATGGTACTCTAGATGCTGTCTAGAAGCCAAATAATTGCTATCTTAAGAGGGTAATCTGATGCATATTTGAGCAGAAAAACTTCTTACAACAATGCTAAGAGTTGTATGAGAGTTAGAGCTAGGCAGAATCCAAGTTTAGACAGAAAGAAATCCTACAACTCCATGTATGTTTAAACAGAATAAATCCTATGGCCCCTAGCATGACCCAACCAGCATTGCTAGCTAAGAGGTGTTGAGATTTGTATTACTTTTTTTTCTAAACATGCATAGGATTGCATGCTTACCTTATTTTTTCCTCCCAAACAAACACCACTAAAACTATTTGGGAAAATGGCAGCATCTGTTTAGAGAGCTGTGTGATTATATTGTATGGCTGTAATATAAGAACTTTTAATCTGCATTTTTCCATTTTTAATATTAACAAAAAAGGAAATCAACAAGCAATTAATTATGTATAGCAACTAGTCATAGACATATATATCCTAATGTGCATTAAAATTGGGGCTTAAAGGAGCAGTGTAATGTAGATGGGGTCCACACCCCCTTGCATTTACCTGGGATGCATATTATCTGCATTTAATACATGTGCAGATCTCCTCTGTTGCATTCAGGCATTCAAGATCAGCCTGACCTCAACTGAATGGTCCAGAAATTCCAGTTTCAAAATTTCTGGTGGTTGTATTAATCTTAGAACATTTGAAGATATGAGCCTTTCAAAAACCTTGATCTTGTCAGCAAGAGGACTGGTAATCCTTAATAGCATCCTTTAATCAGCCCTATGCATTTTCCCCAAATTAGTCAAAGAACTAGCCATCTTACTTACTTTTCACCTGTTTTAATATAGACTTAGCTTTCATTTATGTATGTTGCTGGAAACATCTGACTACTTCAGATTATCATTTTGAACTAACATTTAATGTGTGTTTGAACACTAAGCACTGTGACCGGCAAAACCCATAGATATATTGGATCCTTTTACCAATGTAGTTTATCTCAGTAAGAAGAATGCACAAAAGCTTTCTGCAGAACCCTTTAATTTCCAGGTAATTTAAACATTTTGAATGCAAGTTCAGTTTTTTAGCACACTATCTCAGTATATGGAAGACAAGAACATAAGCGTAGCTGTGCAGGGTCAGACTAAAGGCCAGTATCCTGTTCCCATAATGCTGAATCAGATATCTGTGGGTGCAAAAATGCTCTGCAAGGTTAGGTTGCTAAATGGAGCATGTATCTGAACCAATTCAAACAGCTGAATAAACTACTAAACTATTCTAAGTTGGTAGGTAAATATCATTAACACTCATGAACTCAAACCTCGTATAAGCAATTTAAAAAAAAAAAATTTGGCTTTTAACTATGCCCTAACTTTTAGGTGAACTACCTTTTAGCAGTTTTTCACACTACTGCTGCCTGCAACTCCCTCTTGGATAGCATTGACCTTACACAGACAGCCATTTCACCTGTACTGTCACACAATGCTGATCAGCTCCCACCACTTCTGAGATACCTTGAAACAGAGTTCTTATTGTGCAATCATCCTACTTAATTTACAGTCTCAGAATTTTATAGAGTGTCTAGATGACATCTTCAATTTGTAACCCTCTTATATTTTCCCAGCAGATTTTTTGTTAACACGTAAGAAAAGTGGATAAAATGCTTTTTGATTTGGAGTGCTCAGAGCTCTCCAACTGGAAGCCAATGCCAAACATTCCAGATTTTGCTAACATAAAAATAAATTAACAGGGGAAACTGATTCCCATTATGAACTGATGATACATGCGATGATGCATGCAAACTATTTTAGCATGCGGACAGCTGCTACCTGGAAGCATATGACAATTGTAACACAAGAAGTGATGCTTATGATAATTGGAGAAACTTAAATTTTACTGTAATTGATTAAAGAAATCTCATTACAATGCTAAAAACTTGCTTATAGTCATGTTTAATAGCCCTCAAAGTTATACAAGTTAGAAGTTGTGCATTTAGATTCATGTAGCTGTATTTATCTCATGCTATCCATATGTTATGCAGCTGTATTTATCTCATGCTGATCCATAAGGTGTGTATGAACTTACACAAATCCTCAGAAGCCTTGGCAAGTTAGCCATGGCTTGGTGTGTAAACAGAAAACACTTCTGAGGTTTCAGCGTGCTATCAGTTCTTCCCCATTCAACTTGCTGTTCCCAGCAACCATCCATCTTCAGGCAGTCATTAGGATTATGCTTTCTGTTTGTGCTGTGGTATCCTTTGAATCAAGCCTATTCCATGGAGGAAGTGAGATGTAATTGCTCTAACAGTGAACACAGGTAACTCAGCATCAACAGAAATATAGCCAAAATGGAGTTCCTAAGAAAAAACGAAGTCATATATATTCATGGAAACCCTGAGATTTGTAGAAGTACAAAAGTATTTTAAGAACTGAAGCTGGCAAAAGCAAATTAACCCAATGAGAAGCCAGCATGCCTAACAGTCAAAGAATACTGAGTATGAATTGAAAATCAGATCTTGTGAAGATAGAATTTTGGACCATGGCAAAACTGACTTGCTGGCTGAGAAGCATCCTGAACAGCAACACTCATGTTATGAAGCAACATTTTGTTGCCAATTCCACTTGTACAGCTTTAGAAGCTATACAAAATAACTCACATGTGGAAAACATATTTGGTCATAAGGGGAAACACAGGAGAATTCAGAACTGTCTGTAGTAAGAGAGACCTATTACAAATTTGATTGAAGATTTCAAAAACTATTACATAACTATGTAATACAAAAAATAGTACAACAATGAAACAGAGCCTTCAGTTATAAGGAATGGAAAGATATATTAAAGCAAATTGCAAAAAACTCAGAGCTATCTTGTAACATGTTACTTTTGGTATAATAATCCCCCTGGAAAAAAAAAAGATCCTGCAATGTAAAAAGTTAACAAAAGGAAAGGAAATATGGCACTCTCAAAAACTATGTTATATGTCACTGTCAGAACTATGAGATGAGCTATGATTATTTGTTATGTAATTAGCTGCTTCATTAACAAAAGAAATTGATTTTAAAATGTTTTTAACCTATGAGTCCCACCAGCAGCATGCCCTGAGCAGGCTTATATGAGTGTCACAGCACATACAGAGTTCAGTGCAGACAGATTTTAACATGTGATCAGAAATGCATAATTGCTTCTATGCTGAAAATAAACCATTCTTACTTCTGTGTTTATCATTAAAAGGTGCAATCCTATGTAAGGTTAGAAAGGTATAAGTCCGAAAACTCTGAGTATAAATGCATGCAGTCGCAGGCCTTTTTTCCTATCTAGGATTGCACCCTAAATCTGGAAAATAAATTTGCAGCAACTGTATTAGTAAGTTAATACCAGGTTACAAAAGAACTAATGAGAATGGAAGGCAACAGAAAAAAATAACATAAAAAATTAAAATGGTGTGTTTTCAAATTGTTATAGGACAACTCCTTTAAAATATTGTTGCTTAGCAATACTATATATTTTACTTCCTGTAAAACTTTGATAAAGCTGTCTAAATGTCACGATAAAAGTCAAACTAATTTCTGCATTAAAAAACACTTTTCCACTGAATATATGTCTTTCCATTGAAAGTGTGTTGGGGCATTTTCACAGAAGAATAAAGGAAATTTATGGATCATTTTTGTAGTAAACTAAAGTATTTGTCAATAAATATGGGAAAGTTGCACATTTGGTGTTGAAAACCTTAGTGAAAATAAAACCCAATCATGCTTATAAACATAAGCCCAGATCTACCAAGTCATGCAGACAGCCAAGTTCAGTCAAGAGGTGAGTATGTTTGCATGCTGTATAACTGACCCAAACCACCCTGTACAGATCATTGTACTCTGAATAATCTCAGTGGCTATTTGGCATGTCACTGTCATGACGAGAGATCGCAATTTTAATCAACTTCTATTTTCATACATTTAAGATAAGGAAAAGAGGGACAGGAGCCATCTGTGCTGGATGAAGCGGCATTCATAATTGTTGGGTAAGATACTCACCTGGGGGATGATAAGCAGTGAGTTGCAAAGATTATGTTGAAGCAAGAGAATAGGTGGGGCTGTCAGAGCCTCCAACCTCTCTCTTCACATAGTATGGGATACTTACCCATCAGGGATAGTATTCTTCTTTACCATGCTGAAAGTAGGAGCAGACAAGAGCAGGAGGCAGCAGAGAAAGTGGGCAGCACTGCAGCAAATGAGAGAGAACCGCACAGTTAACACGGTGCCAATCTTTCTCCAATTCTCACTGGGCTGCTCCTAAGGGCCAAATTAGCTATGATACTGGCAGACTTGTTCGTATAAACCCAGATCTGTCCTAATTATACATAAAGCAAGGAGCACAGGTGGCTTTTGGAGCAAGAGGCTGAGGAAACTGAGCACTCCCCATATCCACTTGCTAAGCTTACTTGACATAGGAGCTCACTTGAAAGAAAAGCTGTAAGAGACTGTAGGAAGGTTTGGCATCTCCCAGCACATCTCTTTTTCTTCTAAAAACCAGCCACCAAGACTTGCTCTATTAGGGAAGTGGGGTAGGACATCAGAGTTTAAACAGACAAAAGGCCTTTCCACTATCACAACTGGTTTCTCCTTAAGTGCAAGCAGCCGAGGAAACTGAAGTGGTGGCAGTAGCGGTGGTTCTTTACGGGGTGCGTGTTTGGCTGGTGCGCTCGGTGGTTGCACAGAGCTGAAAACAGCTCAATCCCGCTGCCTCCCCCTTCAAACAGCGGTACCATAAAGCAACTCTCCTTCCATCTGACTTCCAAGGAAGCGACACTGAAAAAGAGGATGGAGCTGTCCTACTGGCAGCATGGACGAAGAGCTGACCCAGCCAACCCGTCGCTGAGGAGCCAGTCCCTGCTCCCACGAAGGCCCATTTCGCTTCGCGTGCAAGGAAAGGATGCCATGGACTTCTGACAGAGGTCCCAGATGCCCTGTGGCAGACCCTGAGCCGATGGAGCTCATAGCCGAGCATGGCACCGGCCCACAATACGGAAGGAGGCGTGTGACTGTAGAGTCCCAACCCTTCCAGTTAAAAAGCTATCGAGCTACAGCGTGGTGTGCCACTAAGACAGGGCTCGCAAGGAGGTAGCGGTCGAGAACGTGGCAGTTCGTACCCTGAATCGGAAATTTCTTTCCTGAGAAAAGCGAACCGACCGAGCAACAAAACCCTTTCCCCAAAATTCTTTGGATCGCGCATGCTCCACAACCGGTTAGAGAAGCAGGCGCATGCCCACCGGGTGTCAAAGCACGGAGCTCGTAACGCGCATGCTCGAGGTTCTGTTTTGCCAGTTTTGTGTGGGTCAGATGCGGAGGAATTCGAATTAGTCGTTTTTGTGCAGGTTCCGTTTCGTCTAACGGCTAAAAAGATGCCGTGTGTAAAGTACGAGGTAGAAGCCACATTGGAGGAGTTCTCGCTTTAGCTTGTTTCTCTTTTGCTTTGTTTCAACACGAGTAGATATCTATTTAGAAATAATGTCAGGTCAAGAGACGTCTCACTTGGAGGGACTCCGCCGCAGTCCAACGTAGGCACAGAAAGGTGGCTGTTCTCGTTGCTGATGGGGAACGGTCTTTGCTGTTCGGTTGTACTTTGTCACTTCCATTTAAGCGACTAGTTCGCGTTTTGACGAACCTTACAGTTTTTCAGAGGTTGAAATGGACGTCTTAAAAAGACACACAAGGCTAAGCAGGTCTAGAGGACAAGTTATTTATTGTAAGCCATCCCGAGACGTTCTGTAGGAGACGGGATAGAAAAGCTTTTAATAAATAGAGGAAGAGGACAACACAATAGTGCTGAGAAATAGATACAGACTGTATCGTTAGCAGTACATTCGAGAAAGTTAAAACTAGAAGATGAAAAGAAAACGGGGGTTTGGGTGTGTTCAGAAATAAGGGGTTTCACGTTTTCTTTGTAAATAGGCTGCTGAATCTCGAACCTGTAAATTTTTAAGCGGGAAAACAAGTTCTACAAGTCCCAGTATGCTCCAGCGAGCTACTGGCTGTGTCATGCTGGGAGCTGGACTTTTTTCTGTCTGAACATGCATAGGCTTGAACACTTACATACCTATGGGCTATCTCTAGCGATCTTCTCCTTTTATATACTTGATCTGCAAAAGTCTGCTTTGTTTTACTTCATTATCTGTCCATATATATAGTAGTGAGTAATCAGTCACACAACTCGTGTTATGTATGAACATGTTATGTATGAACATGCACTTGTGTTTAGTTAATTCGTTTGTTGTAAGTCAATATATATCATGTCTCTCCATATACCTTATGTGTCTTAGAATATAAAAGTGAAAAACAATTTCAGAAAATATAAATTTTAAAACTAGCCTGAAACTAAATGTGGAAAGGGCAGCAGGTCAATTATAAAGCTTATACAGGGTGGACTACAAGTAGATATACAGTACTGATTGGGTCATGTTTAGTCTCTTAGGTGCACTAAGTGTCCTCCATCAGTGTTGCAACCTGTTCCTGGAACCTGTCCCTGACATTGTGACTCATAAGCACCAGTGCAGATAAGTGCTTCCAAGATTAACTCCTTCAGCTCATCCACTATGTGAGATCTTCAGTGATGCAATCAGTACTGTATACCTACTTTTGGCTCACTCTGTAGATTGAATGCAAAATAGAGTTGTAGCTTCAGAAGGTGACAAAAGCCTAAAAAGATGGATTGCTTGGGAAAGGGAATTAACCTAGATGCAGATTAAGAAAAGTCCTTAATATGAATTCCATAATATATTTATTGAGATACTACTTTCCATCCATTTCCTGTTTTGTACTATTGATGAATTTGACTAAGCTTATGCCATAAAATGTTCGTTTTTAAAGAGATTTGGTTTTGCTGCAACAAGGGCATCATGACTACCCTCTGAAAATTGTTACTATTTGGTAACAGTTTTAGTGAACAGAAGTCAAAATTTTTAATAATTGACTGATAGAGCAAAGGGTTCAGCACTGTTAGATGCTTTCCTTTATCTGAAATGGAAGCAACCAGAATAGTTTGGCTATACAAGTACCTGCCTGGAGGAATGTTGTCCATGGGGTCATGATTGGTCGGACATGACTTTTGCAACTTACATAACATAGACAAGTACCTAAGGTTGACCTAAAGTATATCCATTAAGATCTGATTTATTTGCCTCTATCTGATAAACTGTGGTTTAATTTACAGGTTTCTCTGGTCTAGTTTCCTAGTCTTGACTCGCATTCCCTGTTTACTTTTTCTGTGTTTATTTGCTGTCTGTTACAAGACTGCACTTCATTAAATGTATATGTTTAATGTATTGTAAGCCTAGGAAGGCCTCAGCAGTTATAGACAGCCTATAAATGTGTGTATGAATAAATAAAAAATAAACACATCTTTTTCCTACATTCAGATATCAATTTGCATCCAAGTTTTTGCTTAAGAAATTACAAAATGCATCACTTTATTGCTGCAATCCTAACCTGGATTTTGATAAAGCTTTGAAGATGATCAATGTGCAAATAAAATATAGCTCTAAAAAGACTATAATTCTAGTCATGCTTTTTTTTTTTTGCCAGACATTATCTTTTTATACTGCTTGCATTTCACATGAAGGCTCAATTGGTCGAATTACAATGCAACTGTACTTAGAGGCATGGCATCTGTCAAATTTATGCAAATAACCAGTATATCTTTGGTTATGGTTTATATCTAGGATAGACTTCAGTATTTAAGAGATCTTGTTGCTTTTTTTTAAACTTTGTGCATTTATTTATTTATTTATTAAAAGCTTTTCTATGCTGTCCTTTATATAAATATCTCAGGATGGCTTACAGCAGTTTAAAAACAATTTAAAACATCTAGTGATTAAAACAGTGATCCTGTATAAACAATAAATAGACATCAAATTAATTAAATCAAAATAGACAAAGCAAAAGTGACTGGAATCATTAAAACTATTAAGTTTTAAAATAGTGCTTAAATAAGGTTTTGACCTGGTGCCGGAGAGAGTATAAGCTCACTGCCAGGCATACCTGTCTGGGGAGTGCATTCTAGAGTCTAGGCACCACCACAGAAAAAGCCCTACTCCGAGTTGATGTCTTTTTCACCTCTTTTAGAGAGGTTTCCCAGACCAGGGCTTCTCCCGCAGATCTTAAGGGGCATGAGGGCATATAAGGAAGGAGGCATTCCTTCAGGTATTCTGGTCCAAAGCCGTTTAGGCCTTTATAGGTCAAGACCAGCACCTTGAATTGGACCTGGACTTCAACTGGAAGCCAGTGGAGCTGATAGAGGACCGGCGTCATATGAGAATAACAGCTGGTCCCCATTAGCAGCCTGGCAGCTCTATTTTGTATCAGCTGAAGTATCCGGACCGTTTTCAGGGACAGCCCCACGTAGAGTGTATTACAGTAATCCAAGTGGGAGGTTACCAGAGCATGTATCACTGTTGCTAGGGAGTGCTCATCCAGGTAAGGACACAGCTGATGAACCAATCAAAGTTGTAGAAAAGCACTCCTTGCCACTGCCGCCATCTGGACTTCCAGTGAAAGCTCTGGGTTAAGGAGTACTCCCAAGCTGTGGACCCTGTCCTTTAGACGGAGTGCTACCCATCCAGGAATGGGTCAAAAATCACCTACCTGCACCACCCACCAACAGGATTTCCATCTTATCTGGATTGAGGCTCAGTTTATTGGCCCTCATCCAGCCCATTATCTCAGCCAGGAACCGGTTCAGTACAGCCACCGCCTCACCTGGAGTAGATGTAAACAAGTAGATGTTAATAGCTAAATAGACAGAGATTTAAAAGGTGAGACTTTGTCCAGCACTGTATTTTTATCAAAAGCCAAAGCAAGTGAATTTCAGCTTGCGATTAAACTGCCAGGAAAAAGTGGTAACACTCTGGTTTTAAAGCAAGATATCTGATGAACCAAAAGCATTCCCCATTACCAGAATTTAGGGTGCATTCCTATGCATATTTAGATGGAAATAGGTTCAGAAATAGAACTTATTTCTATCTATACATAAGAGTGCATCCTTAGTTGTTAATGAGTCCCTTTCTAGATACCTTGAGAGCTTAAGTTTAGGCCTATTTACCTTTCATAGGGGTCACTTGAGCTATTCCCTGTACTATATTGTTGCTGTAACAGAACTCCACAATATATGGGCAGAATCATTAAATGTAGCTCATTAGCCATGTCTCATAGACTACCATGTGACTAAGAACTGCTTCTTCCAATTAATTAATCCCTTGCAGATTATTAATCCTTTAATTTATATTGTATCTGGGTACACTAACATACATGATTGGTGAGCAGACTGGTTGGCTTGGGGTATTATAGGCTGTGCTAATCTGCTGTAATGTGTCGAATGTCAGGACATTATTCTTTTGCAAGGTATAAGAAAATTTTACACCAGTGTAAGTTGAAATCACAAATGGGCAGTATTAGCACAACAACCTTTTGAAGTAGGCTGTGGCAGAAGAATATATTGAGCTATGCTAATTATTAATAAGATGTGGAAAAGCACTTGATGTGTAGACACTTACAAATGATTACTACATGATAAAAGTAATAGGTAGACTGTATTTACTAAATGATTACCTGACATTATACTGAAGTAGGTATTTTTGTCACTTCTATTCCATTTTGTTTATTTAAAACATTTGTATGCTGTCCTTTGCAACAGTCTCAGGATGGCTTACATTTTGATATTCTGTATTATTTTCCAGTTTCTTTACTGACTTGACGGAGTTAATCCAATCAAAAAATGTATTCTGACAATGAATTGGAAGTATCACTGAATAGAAAAACTGAGGCAAGCTATAATATGTTAACATGCTTTAACATCTTTTCGCAATTTCATGTACTAATTACTAGATTTAGCATCTGTTACTCACTTCTGCTTTTCTGGATTGTATAATGATAATGCTGATAAGTCTTATTTTTATGACTTAAGCCCAAAAATGTGCTCTGGATAGTTGAAAGCAACAATCATCTTGAATTTGTGATAATGTATCTGTGGATTTGTTGACTATAGGTTTCCATTAATTTAACAAACAGATAGGGCAGTAGCCAATGTGATAACCACGATTAACATAAATTATATTGTGCTAACATAAATTACCTGTAGTGTGTGCAAAATGACTATTGCAGTGGGCTTCCCTGCAAAACTTGTTGAGCCCGTAAATGCTATTGGTACTCTAGAGGTTGCTTAGGTTTGTGCAACATAATTTACTTTAGTGATAGTGTCACATTGGATAGTATCTACAGATTATGTTCAAAGCATGGGTAGTAACTCTCAGGGGCAAATAATTCATGTTCCAATTATGTAGCTCATGGTTGAAGCTTTGGAATTACATGTGAAATCAGTATCATACAGAACTTTTAATAGCTCTTTGAAAAGCAGGCGTTTAACAGGCACAGTTTCCCTATCAGATTTACTTATTAAATACCTGCAGCTGCTGAATTTCTGTATGCTGTACTATTTGGTCATAAAATGGTGGAAACATGAGTAGAAGCAAGACAGAAAAGGGTGCACAATTTCTGTTCCTTATCATCAAAATAATTCATGTGAATGTTCTAATGAGAGGCTGATATAAGGGGAGTAAATAGTGTTATAATTACTGTGCCTCAAATATATGAGTGTGTTTGTTTTATAAGATTTTTGAGTCCAAGATATCTTCTGTACTTCAAGTATTGCATAGAAGTAAGAATTTCAACAGGTGCTGTTATCACATTACGTTTCTATAGTAATAAATGAATATATATGTGATAGAATATGTCTTTGATGCAAACTTTAGCATCTCTAGTTTTATTTATATTGGATTTCTTCTAACTTTTTCAACCAACTTCCACTGCTATTCTTTATGTATCAACAACTTCCATAAGATTCTGATCTTTTTAAATGTGTGGTGTGGTTAACATAGGTTGTAGAGTCCTCATGAAAGAATGTTTAGCAAAATCCAGTTCAGGCAAATACTTTCTTCTTTGAGCTGATGATACCATTAGTACTTCCTCTTCAAAGTGGCAAACAATATAGTGAGCAGTCATATGCCATGGGAAGCTTAACTTTAATAATATAATCATCTGATCAGGAATTTTTTACACCATGATGATGACATTTATTTGAAAACCTGAGATTAGTTTTATAAGGAGATAACTTGGCTAGTGAGCTTCAATTCTTAAGCTTCCTGTCTACATTTTAGTTCTAAAAATATGTGACTTTATTAGTGTCTGGGATATTCTGGGACCTGTAGGACTTTTTCCATCTAAGCATGCATAGGATTCCACCCTTAATTTATTTTTTTAATTTCTTGTATCTTAGAGATTTATTTATTTTTTCTTATTATTCAGCAAAAGAAAGTTCAGGAAATAATCAGAAAGAAAAAACAATCTTTAAAGACAAGACGTATTAGAAAAAAGGTACTTTAATCCATTTTACTTCAAAGTATAATATACCATCTATTGAAGGAAGGATTCGGGAAGTCTTTACTTCAAAAATTGTCCTCTCCCCACTGTTCTTTCATAGAAAATACCCCTTTTCTTAATATTTTACCTTGTTATATAATTTGTCCTATCAGCTGCTGTAATAATGTATCTCATGCAAATTTTGTCAGAATTTTTCTATGTAAACTGTTTGAACTTATTGAGGAAAGTGGTATCAAGTGTGTAGAATAAAACGTGGCTTTATAGCTGCTGAAGTCAATCACAACATTATGGAAAAATGAGAAGAATTGGCATTGTTCCACTGGTAATTTATTTATTTTTCTATTCATCCCCCCCCCCCCGCCTCTGCTTTTTTGTTCAAGGAATCCTGACTATGACATGGGGACAAAGTCCCAATCATAATTGGGAGTTCCTTGCAGCTGCAGCTTGGGTAGGGAACAAAAACGGATACAAAAGCAATGCTTTTGGAAAGTGAGGGGTTACCAGCTACATAAGATGATACAAAATTGTATAGTTTGTTCCACTGTATTAAAAAAAAAAAGAGCACTGAGGGGGGGCGGGGGGTGGAGTAGAAGAAGGAAAACATTGTAGGAGAATATGTTTTCCACAAGATTATGTAAAGATGAATGCATGGCTACTCCATAATTAATACCCATTATGGAAGTAGTCTTTTTTAGTTTGATAAGCTATGGGTTATTATTGACTGTGCTCTATTTTAAGCCTATTACACTCTTTCAATGACAGATCTAATTTTCAGAGGCTGTTTCTTTCTTCCTAATGTATTACATAGACTTCAATGAATTCAAATAATACTTAGGCTGCAAAACCAAGAATGTCTATCTGAAAGTAAGTTTCTTAGAAGTGAGTCTGAAGTCAGTGGGATTTACAGCATGTGACAACAGTTTTTAAAAATGGATTGAGGGATTTACAGACTAGTTCATTTAACATTTGTTCTGGATTATTTGATGGAAAACATTATTAAAAATATTTCAGAGATGTAGAAGAATACGTCTAGTTGAAGAAGGGTCAACATGGTTTCTGCAAATGCATGTCCTCTCTCTCAAATCTTTTACAAATGTACTAAGCATGCAGAGATGGGTGATCCAGTAGACACTGTTTCCATGAACTTTCAAAAAGGATTTGGCAAAATCCCTCACCAAAGTGTCCCGAGTAAACTTAGTCATGGGATAAGAAGATAGATATTCTGAGACTGGATAAAGTACAAGGCATGAAAAGGAGGGAAAAATAGATAATTCTTAGTTTGGTTTGTAAGGATATCCAATAGTGGATTACCTTTTCCTATCATTTAGAAGAGGCAGGTGAAAGATATTTTAATTAGGTCCTCTCATCCTTGCTGGATGACTCCGTGTTGCAGTTATGAGAAAGCTGAATTCATAACGAAATCAAAAGGTCAATATTATAATACCTTTATACAAATCTGTGGTGTGACCACATGAATCCTATTTAGATTTCTGGTCATTGCACCTCTGGAAGGATATTGTAGTTCTGGAAAAGGTACAGAAAAGGCAGACCAGAATGATCAGAAAACTAGAACAAATCCCCTATAAAGATTCATTACAAGGTTTGTGCTTTTTTTAGTTGAGATAAATACTTGTAGGCATGAGGGTATGATTAAAATTTATAAATCTATGTATTGTGTGGTAAAAATTAATTGAGAAAATCTCTCATAATACTAGAATCTAGATCATCTGGTGAAACTGAGTGATGGGAGATTCAGGACAATAACAATTCTCAAAGCACATAGTTAAACTATGGAATTAGTTTGCTCAAGGTATGATGATGACTGCCAACATAGATGCTATTAAAAAGGATTAAATAAATTCATGGAAGATAAGGCTGTGATAGCTATGAGTTACTAGTCACCAGTCATGATGGTTGTATACTGCACCCTCTCCCCCCGCCAAGATTGTAGGCATCATTTTTATGAATACCAGTCTTTAGGAAGCAACAGTGGTAGAAGACTGTTGCATTCATGTCTGCTTTGTGGCTTCTCAAGGTCATCTGGTTGGATACTGTTAAAAACAGAATGGTGACCTAGAGTGATGGTTTGGTGCAGCAGGTCTTATATTCTTAAATGTTATAAGAAAAATGGAATTTCCAGCATGATAGTTATGTGCACAGTTTCTCTTCACCAGCTACTGTAATACCTAATTCAACTTATTTGTGATAGCTTTGTATTGGGTTTTTCTCTTTCCCACATCATTGATTACCACTGGCAGGACATATGCAACATAATGACATCAGGTCACAAGATGAATTGTATTAGACATTTTCAGTTATTAATGAGGTATCTGACATAGAGCTGCTCTTTGGGAAGCAACTTGCATCTCTTATAACGTAGTTTTATCTAGGGGCAATCTACACTAGCCATTTTTATTGCCAGTGTGATGCCTTACTCATTGGCATGTCATATTCATTAGCTCATCCTAACCTGTCCTATTTCTTCAGACTGGTTATATCATAAATGCACTTTTTCATACAGTGCATTTTTCTTAGTATATATAACTGCATATGCTAACCTTGTAGTACTGTTCTGAGGACAGAACAGTTGTTTCAATGGGCTGGTGAGCTAAATGAAGATATATGTAGAGCATAGATATGTACATAGATGTACTTGTAAAATTCGGAAGACTTTTGAATCTTAAACTATGGTCATATTCAGATGGTACAGCAGAACCAGGTAGCAAATTAATCATGGATTAATTAACTGACAAATACTGGGCACTTTCGCAATGCCTGAGCTGCTTGATTGTGTTAACAACCTTTGAATTTCACCTTCAATGGTTCATGTTCCATATGAACTGGAATATTTGGGGCTGTGTGTGGGTAAAACAAACCCAGGTAAATCAAAGAGCAAACCATGGGTTAACCAGGGGTGGTTATAACAAACAAACAACAAATGCCACTATTCAGATTTCAAAGAAACAACCCTCAATAGTGGCTTGCTCTTGGGTTAACCTGGAGTTGTTTAACCCATATACAACCAAATAGCTTGGTTAATTTACTAAAGAACAACCCTTGAAGGGGGTTGTTAATGGAAATGGGAAGTGGCATGCACACAGCTTGGGAACAGTGCATATATATATATCCTCATAATTTACAACCTACAATTTCCTCATAATTTCTGACCTACAATTCCCTTATAATTTATGACCTACAATTTGCCATCAGATGCTGTCATGACATCAAAATTATTGAATGTATTTTGGGTCAAAACATTTACTGACTTTACATATGACTGCTCTTAATATGGAGATCAATCTTGGTTTTTTTGTTCTTTTTAGCATGTGAATGATAGTGTTGAACTTCCTTTTTGCCTGGGTCAGGATTTGATTTTCTTGGCTATTCACTGTTAAACAGTTTAGAAGAGTTGATGGATTGAGTTATGAAAGAGTTATATAGGTAAATAAGATACTACAGATGTAAGAAAATAGTTGTGATAACAATTTTACAACTTTCCCTTGTTTAATATAGAAAAGTAAAGCCAATGCACATGTTGATAGAATACAAGAAGAACCAGTAGACCAAGATCCACAGAAAGGTAGTTCAGTATTTTATGCCTTCATAAATTGGATTTTATCACCATGATATTTAAGAATATCTTCTGTCACAGAATGTAAAATCAATGCCTACATTTACTTTTTAAAGACATGGTATTCCTTATTAACAATATTTGGTTTGAAATCCTAATTTTCAATTATGCTCTATACTTTTACATAAGCCAACATTATGATAAATGCTGTGAGATGAAAATGCAATTTATACAATAAAATGCAATAAAATTATGCATTTTATCCATCCTTACTGTGTATCAAACAAAATATAAATGTCATTTAGAATTTGTCTGCATTTTCAGTAGCAAATGGTAATAGGAATGTGAGATTTAGAGCCATTTCCCTGCCTCATTCATAGAATTTTATATGGAGTCCAGACACTGTGGTCTTCTAGTTGTGGCTCTCCAATGTTTTCCCACTTCTTTTGTTTTATGCAGGAATACATTAAATTAAAAAAGAAAGAATAGCTGCCTTCTAATTTGTAGCACTAGTAGTCTTCCATCAGGAAGTACTCAAAGAACTACTAAATAGTACAGAGAACATGTAAGAATTTTGTTGCACAATATGTTCCATAAGTCTGTCCTTTTTTTTAATAGTTGTGAATGACAAAGAAAAACAGGGCACATTAACTGAAGCATTGTGGAGAAGAGTAAGAGGGAAGTTAAAAACTGTAAAGGTAATAAATAGTTTTAATTAAACTTGTAACTTAGCATTCAAATAAAACTTGAAACATGCTATATTTATGTTTCTGTGAAAGGGGGAATATTCAACCAACTTAAAAAGGATCATCTTCTCTATACCAATTGGAGTTCTTCAGAAAAAAGAAGTCAGCTGTTGAATATGAGATGCTTATAAGTTGTGTCGGTTTTTGTTTTCTTTTTGTCTTTAACATTAAGGTAATATTCTAAGCTATTTTTTTGTTTTAGAGTTCACAAGAAGAATTTTCTGACAAACAGTATTCTGAAAAACAATATTCTCTTACTAAAGTATACCAAAACAACTTTGAAGTAAGTGCTGAGGTAATAAAACTTTTATAAATATGATTCCCAAAAACTGTGAATTAAAAATTGTAGCTTATATTCAGTTTGGTGCAACTACATCCTAATATGAGCACATTTTTGTAGAATGTTTAAAAATAGGCATCTTGCTTTTATTTATACATGTACATAGCAGTTGTTCTAAATATATTTATTGTTTAAATAGTTTATTTATTTATTTATTTTTGGATTTATATCTTGCCTTTTCCTACAAAGGGCTCAAGGCAGCTTATATCTCCTCCACCATCTTATCCCCACAACAACAACCCTGTGAGGTAGGTTGGGCTGAGAGTCTGTGACTGACCCAAAGTAACCCAGTTGGCTCCATGGCTGAGCGGGGACTAGAACCCAGATCGCCTGAGTCCCAGTCCCATGCTCTTAACCACTACGCCACACTGGCTCTCACCCACTCTGTCTCTCTAGTTATTGTCTCAAATATTTCCTCCTTAACTATGTAAACCTAATGTTGCTGTGCTTTTGTGGAAGATGAACTTAATGAAGAAGATAATGAAAAAGGTATTTGCAATGGGGAGAAGGAATGGTAAAAACAAAAGTCAGAGAGCAGTTGACAGGTTAGAGAGGAATGCAGACAGACATACTTGTACATGCTTGCCTGTACATAGCTAGAAGAGATTCCAATATGTGCTATTAAAGATGCAGTCCAGTGTCCTCTATGAACAATGCAGGTGCTGTGGTGAACTGTTTTTCATCTATCTAGATGAAGTGCCTCAAGCCACTGTCCCAGACGCCTTCCTTCTTCATCTTTGGCACATCACTTTTCCTTTTCTCAGAAGCGAACTTCTGACCTTAAAGGGCAGTTGGTGCAATTTTTTCTCTGCTGGTTATGATGATAATTTTAGGCCCACTTAGACAATTCTGGGAAGCCTTAGGACTACCCTAAAATTTGAGTAGAATTTTAGTAGAATTTGAGGAGTGAAGGTCATAATCAGTGTTGTATGTAGAAATACTATATGGGTAAAAAGACAAGGTGGCTATTATGACTGAGAAACTGTAAGGGGGTTATGCCAGGTGCAGATGGGGTGGGAACATAGTGAAAAATGTGAGGAGAAAAGTAGCAGAGAGTTTTAGGTGAGAGGATGTATAGAGTTCTGCAAGAAGAGGCGTTTTGACTTGGTGGCTAGAGTATGGGAAGCAAGGAAGAGTGAAAAATGAAAGGTAAAGTCAATCTTGAGCGCTTGGATAAATATTGCTGCTTTATAAATAAGCAAGGAAAATTAAACATGGGAGAAAAGGAAAAGCTCTCCAGTTGCTAGTACTACTACTGACTGATAATTCATTCAACTGTTTTTTCAGTCTCAGAATGAACTTCCTTTAGATGAAGGCTTTGAATTTTTTACATCAAGTTTTGAAAACCACTCAAAGATTAAAGATACTGATCAAAATGTTGACCAGGTATTGTTCTTCTCTTCATATAAATTGCTTTCTTTCCATTTGCATTATTTTGCTGGACAAACTTAGGTCTCCTCCTGTCAGATCTCCAGTATTTCAGTGTACTTACCTACCTGGCATTCACTATCTATGTTATAAAGAGAATATTGTGAAATAATACTGAAAAGGTATTTTCAGTGACTCGGAATTTAAATACTAAACATCCAGATATCGTTTACAATGTAATGTATGCATGTCTACTGAAAGATAATGCTTTTTGCATTTAGTGGTACTTATTCCCAGATAAGTGTGTATAGAAATAGAACATAATAAACATATTGTCTTGTTTCCTTATAAAGTTTAGAATGCAGTAATATGGACTGCACCCTGGAATACTTGGAAGTCCCTGTATTTCTGAGATTCCTGTGACCTGCTGAGTTGAAGCCAGAGCAAAGCAGGAAAAGCAGTGGAGGCAGTCTTTTTCTCTCTTGTCCTTCAGTCCTTGATTATTTTACTAGATGAGCTTTTTAGCTCACCTAGCAAGGGTGCTTCAGAGAGGGAGAAATGCCACTGAAACACCCCCCTTCCATTTTTATCTCTCTGAGATCTGCTTTGGAGAGCTAGCCAGCATGGTTCTTGCTGTGCTAGGTGCAAAGGGACAGGGTCAAGAATTGGATGTTCAGCTCCCTTCAGAACACTATCTCCAGTCTTGGAAGGGGTAATCAGAGCCATCTGTGGTTCCTGGGATTCTAGCCCAGGGACCATAGGATTACTGACATATTTTCAAAGTACTTTGTTCCATTCATGTAGTCACATGATGTGACTTGAACATGATCCAAAGAACTATTTTATTCAAGAGCAAAACAAATGCACGGGCGGCTGGAGCTCTCTATGAAATATGACTTCATTGCAGCTTGTGCAATTCACTTTTTCCAGTCTTGCATACATTCCTGAGGTAATTAAAATGGGTTAACAAAGCATAGGACTATTCTATGCAGCAACCTTATATCCCCTTTCCAGAAGGCCCCCCATCTATTATAACATGATAGTCAAATTGTCCAGTTATTTTGGCCTATAACTACTATCAGCTCTAGGTGACAAAGCCTATGTCTATGCTGCATTATGCATACTGGCTGCTATCGCTTGTGTAGTATTTCATATTAATATAAATCAGTAATGTTATATGTGTATTTTTGTCTGGAGAGGCCCTACCTAAGTGGAACAGTAGCTTGCATCTCTGGGAGTGGTAGGCTGTTCTGAAAACTCCTCAAATGAAGCTTTAGCTGTGTATACAGTATGCTTACTTCATCATTGTTGCAATGCTTCATGTGTTAATCATTTCAGTGCAAGATGTGGAGGCACAACTGTATGCTGGTGTGGAATCATATGATTATTACTATTGCTGCTGCTACTACTATTTCATTTCTATACCAACCCATTGGTGAAGCTCTATGGGAAGTTTACAACAATCTGTATAGTATAATCCTATGCATGCTTACTTGAAGTTCTATTAAGTGTCATATTAAGAAAATAGCAATTCAAGTATTCAAAAATTGTTTATTTCTTATTGGAAGGTAGCACTTAGATATATGGCTACTAAATTCTGAAGGTTGAAGTATGACTTTTGAAAGTGTGCGGGTAACCGTGAAAGATAACAAAATGTATAGATACACATGTTGATTGGTTAGAAACTATGCAAAGATAACATGTACGATATACCTTTGTTAGGACCAACCGAAAGTTCACCAAAAATTAAAAAGCTGCTACTTTGTCACCTTTGGGTTGATTCTAATGAAAGTTTTACCCATCTGTTCCTGCATAAAAAATTAAAGCACTTCTCAAGAAATTCCTAGTCATTTTATCTAGATTGAGTTCCATTTTTTAGTTATTTGTCCATTCTCTAAATACAGTGCTTCACACTATTTTTCTTCATGATGCTTAAACAATAGAAACCAATAAATGAGAATGTTCAAAATATCTTTGAATTAAATGAACAAGCCCCATTGATTGAGCATATGAGAAAAATATTAATGCCACAGTTGCTTGAAGTAAAACCTCCCGAGTGTGGCTGTAGTAACCTGGACAAAACCCCCCAGCAGGATCACATTTTTGTTCCAAGCAATTCTCCAGGTAAGTGTATATTTTCAAATATGATTGATATGTATAAATGTTTGCACAGTAGCTAATGGATAATCTGATTTGTTCATTTGGTGGTGCAAATGCAGATGTAGTTTCCTCAGTTTGGAAAGAGCGGGAATTGAGCAATACTGTGGGATTTTGTACTCAGTTATTTTCAGTGCATAGGCTTTCCTGTTACTACTACTACTACTACATTATATCTAATGGCTTGGATACCTAAATGGCTTGGTACTGGAATCCCATACTTTAAGATCTGAGTCAGAAGCCCTTCTTAAAGAACCATCTTCTAAGGAAGTGAAGGGGATGACAAATGGAAAGACCTTCTTGGTTGTGCCACACTTTTGGAATTGTCTCCCCAAAGAAGTTCACCTAGTACCCTCATTGTGATGTTTTGGTGCCAGGCAGAGTTTAACAATCAATAAATGTTAATATTTTGTATTTTATATTGTTTCTATTTTATGGGTTTTTAATTGATTTTAAACTGCTATACTTATTCCTACTGTAATACTGTTTCATTTTATGGGCTGTTTGAGTTATTGTTTTTTAACTTATTGTAAAGAGCCCTGAATTGGGCTATAGGTTGTGGTATATAAGTTTAACAAGTAAATAATATTACATTACATTTCTATAACCACCTGTAACCAAAACACACAAAACTCTCTTGACAGTTAACAAAATTTAAGTCACCCATCATCATGTACTTGTTAGAGAATTATACATTGTCCGCCAGTTCACAGGTACTGGAAATTGTAGCAACAGTGATGATTGCCTTAAGATACAGTACAGGAAGTCCCCTACATAGAAACATAGAAACAGAGCAAGTCAGAAAGGGTCTCCCGGGCCATGTAGTCTGACCCCTGGCTCAAGCTAGCTCCGCTCATGACATGCATACCATGTGCATGTCCACATGCATGTCTAAATATGAACCTTCAAGTTGCAAACTTTCAAAAATGTATGATACATGAAAGGGATTCTTCAATTTGTTTCTTCTGACAGCTATTCACCCAATATTTCCTCTGATTCTTCTTTCCTATTCTCCCAAAGTATCATGTGTTTATGTTTTGACAGGATCCATATTACATATAATGTTTGTAGTATGCCCAACAAGTTTAGGTGTTTATAACATGTAGGCTCTAATGAATAGGAGTCTTTTAAACAAGCATACATTTGTGAAAAAGATAGTAGCAGTGCATTCAGCCTATTCTAGAATTTATTTTTACAGATTTAGCAAGTATCCTATCCTTTAACCACAGTATAAAATTTATACGGTGAATTTACATTGCATATATGGTGGTTCTGTTTTTAAATGGGTAGCTTTAAAATGGGTTGAAAAAGTTTTCAGAACTTTCAAATTCCTTTATGGTTCCATATTGGTATGGACAGTTTTGTGGGAGTGGTGGTGAAGGGATATTAGAGAGAGAAGAGAAACAGCTAGACTATGAGAATGTTCATTTAATTTTTTTTAAAAATTCACTGCATTAAAGGTATGGGATATATCAAATGCAATTGAGTCTCCTACTTATACTTTCCTGGGTCAGGTCTTAGTATTTAACCAATTAAAGAGAGAAAAATGCATAGCTTAGAATTTGTATATCTACACACTCTCACACATATATGTAATTTTAAATCATGATTATTCACAGTTACACACAGATGTAAACTTGCAAACAATATGTTACCACGATTTTTAGAAGAAGAAGGATTTTATATGCCACAAAAGCCTTACATTTCTAGGAATGCATATCACAAAATGGAAAATCGTCTTCTTCAGCAAGAAGCGGTAAATGTTAATTTCTACATTAAAATGGTTTCCAAATAAATTTAATAACACAATTAACTTAGTTGTTTTACTTAGTGTTGTTTATGCTTCTAAATTATCTTTGTCAAGGGAAAAGGCTGGTTTGAAGAAAGTGGGGAAATAATGTCGTTACCTTCTCCAATCAAACTATCAAACCGGTGCAGAGTGCCTTTTCCTGTTAAAATTGACACACAATTAAAGACTAAATACAAGAAGGTTTGTTTGATTTTCCATTTTATAATTCCTTACATCACTTGGGATATTTTATTATGACATGCTCAATTTACCATGCACAGATCTATCCCATGGAAGTAGATAGTACATTTTAAATCAGGGGTCTCAAACTCAACTTACCAGGGGGCCGCTGGAAGTAGAGTCTGGGTGAGGCTGGGTATTCCACCACCGCATCCCGCGTCGCTCCCGGAGGCCGGCCCGGGCGCCGCCGGCACTTTGAAGGCCGCAGGGCCCCTCCCCCGTGCCCCGCCTGTCCCGGCTCGCAGCTTAGAGGGAACGTTGCGCCTGGGTGACGACTCACGCAGGTGCGTGTGAGAAAAACGTGCGGGCCGCACCATCACTAAACTTTGATATCAAGTTGGGGCCACAAAATATCATCCCACGGGCCGCAATTGGCCCGCGGGCCGCGAGTTTGAGACCCCTGTTTTAAATAGAACCATTAACTTAGCTTTCTGTCTGTGGATAGGTGTGTCTACACACATATGCACAAGCATGTGCACATGTTCATGTTCACCCTCATGCATAAACAGTTTTTGCCTCATTTCCTCTGGTCAAGCAGATTTTGCACGTTTTTGTACCATTGTTTACTAGAGCCAAAAATATGTATACCAGAAGCAGTAGTTCTTCATTTAAACCATATTAACCTCTAAAAATCCTCTCCTTCCACTCCAAAATTATTTATTTTAAGGGAAATGTTTGTTCTGTTAAACACAGGCCATACAACCTGAAGTAGAAAACTGCATCATAACAAAGTCAGGCGATCAAAGTGAAATTTATCAATTGGATCTTAATATAGCAAATATTGTCTTCAGCCATCATTCTCTTTTCAATTATGAACATGTGTTGGCTGCCAGGTTGCTTCACCTTTATGAATGCTTTCAGAAAAGACAACAGCAAAATGTTACTCATTTGTTATCTGAAAAAGTAAGGAAATGCTTTTATGTTATATTACAGTCTAGGTAGAGAGCAGAAAGATTCAACAGCATAATGTTTGTCTGACTTCAAAATGTCACAGCTTGAATTCCAGAGAATAGCTGGACTAGCTGAACATCATTTCATTTGTTCTAGTAATAAATGGATAGCTTCTGCTGCGCATGACTAATCCTGGGTATTATCTTGGTTATTAGTATTTTGTTTCTACCTTATTTAGTAGTAAAGTTAGTAGTATCTTTTAAAATAATGTTGACTTTAGAATTATGCCTCCTTTAACAAAGTCATTTGTTTATCTGTACCCTCCATCAAGGCTTTAATTTAAAATGTACACCCAACAATTAATTAATCTACAGTGGACACTTCCTTTCATTTTCTTTTCCATCATCAGTATAACCAGTACCACCAATAAAGCAATCAGAGAAGGTGCATTGACAGATACCCACTGGGCAGTATCCTACAGTATTCTGCTAATGTAAATTACATTGTGCTATATTAGTACTATTAGCATGAGTAGCAGGATTCCCTGGAAAACCAATTAGCATTGCAGGAGGTCTCTTCTCCTAGTCTTAGTGGAGTACACTGTCGGATATTGTGAATGTAGGTATTGTGCCTATATGCCCAGCTGCCCTGTGTATTCCAGAGCAAGGAGTACAGTCATGTTTTAAATGGAAATAGTAAAAGCATTTATATACATGTATAACATTTACACTCTATGTTGTGAAGGATGATGAAAAAAGAGGGAAGGGAAGACATTATAATAGAAAAGGTATAACAATTATTTGGAAGATGTTTGGGTGAGGGAAAGCAAGGATACAAATTAGGGGCTGTATCCCATTTTGGACTTATTTAAGTTCCATTCATTTTAAAGGACCCTTCTTAAGCAGTGCTCATACTGCACACAGCTTATGCACTGGAAAATAGAAGCATCCCTTAAAAAGAAATATCCCTTAGTGCCTATATGCACATTGATGTGATCCTAATTAATATCTGTGAGACTAATAGAAAAATAATAATTTGGCTGTCAGGTTTTAACTCCTGTTATATTGTTCCAAAATGTACCATTGCCCTCTTGATCAGACCAAATGTACATCTCATATAACATTCTGCTGCCAGTAGCTGCTACCAGATTTTCTAAAGCTGAATTAGGTAGTGGCTATCAAACATCTAGTAACAATGAATTGCATAAATTGCTTATATGCTGTTTGAAGAAGTCTTTCCTGAAAAAATATGATTTCTTTATATAATGCTTTTTAATTGGGAGTTTTAAATGTTTGTTGCTGAGTGTGGCAGTTTTTCACTGTGTGCGTGTGTGTGTAAAACAAATGTCATATGGAGTTCTTAAATGCCAGTTTGCTAATAAAAGTTTGGCACATTCTAAATAATTCATTTATATTACAGCTCAAAGCATTAATAAGTGCTACAACACTAGCAGAAAGTAATTTTAAAGAAAATCAGCGGAGCAAAAACACTTTAAAGGATTATAGATCACAAATAAGGTATCTGTTCAAATGGGGTTTGGGAAGAGGAGAAGAGGATCAAATAATCTGCATTTTCTTTCTTTTTTTGGCAATAATTTCATTTTTGATAGCACATTTGGGTTAAATCTATATGAGAGATCCTGTTAAGCCATATTGTGTAAAATGTTTTGAGAACTTCATGCTAACAAAATGGTATATAAGTGTTAATAATAATGGTTTAGTGCCTTCCTAAAATATCAGGAGCAAATCATCCAAACATAGGAAAATGGTTTCTGCATACTTGAGTGATGCCCCAGTCATACAGAAGTATATTATTTGGTAAATTAAATGAATGTTTCACATAACCCCTAATAGCTTGATGAATGTTCTGTGCTCAATAAGTTTCCAGGACCTATGAAATGTTGGCCTTTAATACAGGTGAAGTTTGGTCGTTTGCCTTACTGGGGTATCTTCTGTTTTTCTTGTGGATAGAAAATGCATTCTTAACTTGGAGTTTTGTATTTCTCTGATTTTCTATATATTCTATTGACCCGCCACAAGCTGGTGCTATTGTATAGTGACTCTGTGGTGATTTACAGCAATAACTGATGTTCTTCTCTCATTTATTGCAATTTAAATTATGACTTTCTAAGTTCTGAAAATAATTTGCCAAAAAAGGCAAACACTGGGAGGCTCTGGAGGATGATGACATCATGAAAAGGCCTCACAAAATTTGCGAGGGATGATGAGGGCCCAATAAACGCGTCATTGAGGGCCTCCCATGTGTTCCACAGTGTTAATAGGGGAACAAAAAGGAAGGACATAGGGTAGAAATTGGCCTGCTTAAGCTCTTGACAGCTTCTAGTGCTGGGTGCACCTGTGAGTATATAATGAGTGGTTAAAAATCCTCCTCCCTTTGTAGAAGTGTTCCTTTTTCCTTTGCCCTTCTGAAGAAATCTTCACCCATCTTTTTAAGAAATAAAGTGCTTGGGAGAATGAGAAAAGTAGTAGTCCAAGTAGTCCTTGCTTGTGCTGTGGAAGGCAGAAAGAAAAGAGGCTCACTCTTTGGTCCCAAGAGTCATTTCATGAACATGTCAGTTGTCCCAGGAAGTTATGCACATTCTGGAACAATCACCTGTTTGATATGAAGGTACAGGGAGCCTGCAAAGGAGTTGCCACTTCATCCATTTTAGGCTGTGTGTGACACTAAGCAGAACAGAAAAAGTGAAGAGGTTCTAGAGATAAGTCTTCAGAGTGCCCAAACAGCTGATTCTCTCTCCCTGTGTCCCATTTTTCCCCTCAGACTTGTTACTGCATTTCTTGCTTCAGAGTTCCTTCTTCTCACTTCCCCTCTACTCCTCTGCCTTAGACTGTTCTATGACTGTTTTGCTCTTTCACCTGTGCCCCTCCTACAGACTGTTTCCTACCTCTTTTACTTTTCCTTCCTCAGTCTCCTGCTCCCACATGCTGATGCATTTCCTTTGCATACTTAGCCAAGAACCAGCATGTTCAGATAAAATACAGTTCATTCTGTGAGTGGGCAATTTTGCAAACCAGCTTCCTCATCCCCAGTTTCACTCTCTGTTCCCTCCCCCTCCATTTCCTATATGGGCATGTACATATAGTTTTTCCCTTTCTGTTAAGCAAACACACACCCCCCCCCCCTAAAATTCCAGCAGATTTCCTTAATGGAAAGAAAGAAAAGTGGCCTTATTTTAGTATGGAGGAAGAGTCAGAATATGAATAATTCTTTGTGTCTTCATGCATCATGCATATGGGCTCTGCAGCTGGGTGCAGCCTAATTTGGGAAACTTCCTTAGCAGAGGATATTTTGGTAGGACTCCTTAGTACACATGTCCTTAATAGGTTCCCAACTATTCCCTTAGTTCTTCTTTGATCACCAGTATGGTTGCCTTAGAGCTTCTTTCTTGTTGTTCAACAATAATTGTTTTAAGGCAGTGTGTGTGTGTGTGTGTGTGTGTGTGTGTGTGTGTGTGTGTGTGTGTTTGCTTTCTTTATTTTTACATTTTTCCTTGTTTTTTCTTTATTTGGTATTTTTGATCACTTTTTTTAGCATGTAACCTTATTGGACTTATTCTGAAAGTATATGAGCCACAGCAGAAAGCTTCCCACAATAACAGACATTTTCTTTGTTTGCTCTGTTTGGAAGTTGGGTATATAATAGATTTTTCTCCATACTACCAAGCCATCCCAAAACAAGCTTTTCTGGCCATAGGATGGCCATTCTTTGGAAGCATGCAGCTGAGCACCTAAGAAGACCATGGTCCAGACACATCCACCCTCTTCACCAATTATTTCCACACCTTTGACATCAGAAAAGGCAGCACTGGACCCATTGGCTTCTAGTATAATGCCTTTAGATGCTGTTTCATTACCACATAAGGCTCCTCTAATTAACAATGACACTCCCACTCTGGGATGGCTTTGGCAGCTTCTCTGGCCAAAAGGTTATCTAAAAAAACATGGACTGATATATTCTATTAATGTGGTGGGGGGGAAGCACCTTCTCTTTGATGGAGAAGGCCTGTTCACCACCAGAATGGATGACATTCTGATGCAGTTCAAAAGATGAAGACAGTTGCTAGAAAGATGGGAATTAGCACAGCCTCATTCACTCTTTTCTGGCAGTGATGTTTGTCATATCAGACTTCTTCCCCCTATTGGTCAAATCAGCTTTCTCATTGATTGGTCCCAGATTAAACTGATACCAATATGTGCTACTATATCTCAGCACTATGCTTCAGTTTCACCCTCCTCCAATCTTCAGATCTCTCCTATCCAGTTATCTTAAAATTGTACCACAACATCAGACCATGGGTCCTTGCTATAGTCCATAGTACAGGTTCAAGATTGATACCCTCCCTGATTTTGATGATATCTGTACTACTTTCCCTTCAAAAGATCTATAGGATGAAGTCACCTCTCTCTTCCAGAAGGAGTACTGATTCAGGGTGTGCATTCAAGATATGTAATGTGCTGAAGAGAGGTGAAGGGTTTTGGTTGATCCTGGATCTATGAAGGGTAAACATGTATGGAACCCCTAAGAAATTCCAGATGACTTCACTTAAGTCACTTCTGCCTCTTTTAAGATACAGCATCTGGTTAGCATTCAGTGGACCTGAAGGATGCTTATTTTCATATCACAATGCATTCAACAGCCAATATTCCCCTTCAATTTTGCATACGTTGCCATGTATCCTAGTTGCATTAGCCATGGCTGGAGATGTGTGGGAAATCCAGTTTAGGCATGGTAATCTGTTGGATTACTTGAGCTTGGCTCCCTTGGCTCTGGCCCACTTACTCTCTTTGCTCAGTCTGCCTCATTCTGAACATTTGCATGAGCATCTGTCAGAAAGCAAGTCTTTACATACTTTGTGCAAAGAATTATGTACTTTGCACAAAGAATCTGCTAGCATCCTCAAGCATTTGAAAACTTGATTTCAGGTCAGCTCACTTTCTCACCATGGCTGAGCATAGGAAGGAAAGCCAGTAAGTGCAAGGGAACTGGCTTCTGACCTGATCTTTACAACCCTAGTCACAGCCCCAAGAGTGTTTATAAAGTGAATGGCTGTCATTATAAAGTGTATGGGATCCAACCATATCCTTATCTCAATGACTGGCTGATTGTAGACAATACTAAGGATAACCTTGTAACATAATGCAGTAATCCTGGTTCTCCTAGGTCAAGCAAAGGGTTAAGACTGCAACTATTAAGTGATATACTTTTAGTCCCAAGTCAGCAGGAATCTGACATTCCGGGTCCTGAGAGTGATTCACTTCCTTTGTGATGGGCCATATCCCAGTGGGAGATGGGCCATATCCCAATGGGTCAGCTGTGGGGGGAATAAAGGTTGGCTGACAGAGAAGCTCTTTGTTCCTTTTGGGGGGGTTCCATTCTGCTTCCTAAATGTGGTACATGTAGACCTGTGACAACACTATAGACAGGAGCTATTCTGTGTCTAGATTAGAAGAGGGTTAGCTTTGTTATTTTCAGGTGATACAACAAGACCCAAAGTGTGGGGGTTTGTTTGACTTGGTCTATAAACTGCTGCTTTCCAAAGTCCCTAGGGAATTTTGGGGCGGGACTTTGCCCATTTGGCCAGGGAAATGGGGAATCCCTAACTGCTTTCCATTACAAACCTCTTGCCAGCTGTCTCAATGGCTCTGGCTCTCCTTGACACTTGGATCTGTGTTTAAACATTGAGAAGCCAAATCTATCCGTTTTGCAAAGCATTGATGTCATTGGTGTGTTGCTCAATTCCACTGTGGAATGGATTTACTTTGGATTGTGCTTGAGCAGTTATTGCTTTGACAAAGAAAGTTGTCCTTTATGAGATTGTGTCTATATGAAATTCAGTGGCTCTCAGGGTTGATAACGTTGACAAAATAAGTGGTGGGTTATGCTTGACTTCAAATACTGCCACTACCATCTTAGTTTTCAAGTCCTTTGATACTGGTTGTAGTGCTTGACTTACTTACCTGAATCCTCTAACCTTGGTTCAAAAGTTGCTTTGGTGGTGGACACCCTTGGAGAATCTTCAAAATATTATGCTGTTCCAGTCATGAGCCCCAGGCAGGACTCTAATATGCAATGCTTCTCTTCAAGGTGACTGTGCCCATTGCACAGATATCAACAGGCAAAGTACTTTTGCCTGTCACAACAGTTTGTCAAAACTTTGCCTCCATTTTGTCTCTGTCACAACAATTACCTTGAGTTTTTGCTAGACTGGAAGGCTCTGAAAACATTTGTCATTGAACTAGTGCTCCATCAAATTCAAACAAGGATAGACAGTACATGGTCGTTGCATACTTAAAGAAGATGAGATGCTTTCACTGGCATTCAACAGTTTGACACAACATCTATGCCACAAGTCAACAGTTGTTGATGTAGTTAATTCTGTATTTTGCATATGGACTTTGTGCAGGGACTTTTGTTAGAGAGACTGAGATTCCCAAGCTAGGCGTTTTGGTGGGAACCCTCCCCTTCCCCCATGCTGTTTAAAGACAGGGTTCCCATC